GCAGAGCCCTCTCCCCAGATTAATAAGGATTATTTGCCAAATGATTAAATGTTTTTAGGACATCCATATTCCCAACCTTCCAGAATATATACTTACGGTATATTGTATTTTCCTGAAGATATTTATTATTTTTTCAGAAATTTTTAAAAAGTTGCCAACTTACACAATAATTATGAGTTTTTAATGAATATTTTAATTTGTTAGCTGCATGTTTGTGCAGTTTTTAATAAATGTTGTGGTAGGTGCGGATGTGTCAGTGTCAGGGGAGCGGTATGTTGTTGACATGCTGCCAACGCTGACCTGGTTAATTTTTGTTGTCATCTGGATGATGTATGTAAGAGAATTTTTTTCAGAATGTGTACTTTTAAACTAGGTCACCTCATGATCAGATTTCTGGGATGTTATTTGAAGTATTTTGTTGTTGTGAAGGTTTTCAAGGCAGATACTTCCTGTTTAAGAATTTCCAGTTCACTTGCAGAAATTCTGCTTAAAATATCTGATGTCAAAGAATACTTAATAGATGTATTTATGCTGAGTAGGGTAGGGGAAATTAGTTAATTAAGAATAAATAAATGAAATCTATATCAAATTCCAGACAGTTGGAAATATTTCATGTTTTATTTCATGCCTATAGTTGGTCAGTATGTAAGACAGGAGGTGATTTAAGAAGATTAATAAAAATATTGTCATGGTTCAAGAGAAGGTCCCAATAAAAATCACGAGTGAGTGAGTTTAGTTTTATGCCACTTTTAGTAATATTCCAGCAATATCACAGCAGGGGACACCAGAAATGGGCTTCACACTACAAGTCATGAAATGAAGTGATGAGATGTTAACCAATAGCATTGAAAGTATATTTAACTTTTTGATTAGGCCAGACCAATTTTAGTTCTTGTTTTACGGACTTTTGTCCTCAGAAAACCTAAAGGCAAGAGGGGAAAAATTAATAAAAAATAAAAATCACCAGTCAAAGTAATATTCCTTTTAAATACTAAAAGTATTTTATTTTTGGCAATTTATGATGTGTATATGGTGCAAAAAACAATCAACAAGGGTTTTTTGTAAGTTAACATTTTTGGCCAATAAAAACATGAGGATTTTATTATTTGAGCAGGAAAATTCATTTTAATTTTTTTATATTTTTCTTGAAAAAATATAACCGTTGGATCCGTAAAACAAGAAATAAATTGGTCTGGCCTTATACTGTTCAAAAGAAGTTAAAGAACAACTAATTTTTAAAAATGTTATATGGCTAGTGGGTTTTACAACACAGCTTTCTGATTGTGGGTGTTCTGTAACATGTATTTTGAGTCACTATCTGTATTATCTGTAACAAGGTGACCGTATCTGGTCAATGGGGGCTGAAAACTAAAATACATCAAACTTTCAAAGAATATCTGTTGTTGCTGTTGATAAATGCACTTTATGAAAATACATTCTTGCAGCTTCAGCTGTGTCTTACAACCCATGACTTATATCATGGTACACCTAGTATCATAGTGATTCATAAACACATGCTCTGTCATTGTATATCGCGTGGTGACAATCACTGGATTGTCTGGTCCAGACTCAACTATTTACAAACAACATCATACAGCTGTGATACTGCTGAAAACAGATACATACCCATGATATAGTCACAACTTTACAATCAACTCTGTTTTTAGCAGATATTTCTTGTTGATGTAGAAAGGGTTTCGTCACTTCTATTTACTTTGATGATGTTGTGCAGGGGTGGAAATAACCCATTGCCCGACGTCCGAGTCCAGTGTTTTTTTTCTGTCGGGCAAGCAAATTTGTATATCACACTGTGCAAGTGTCCAGTTGACTTTCCAATGTTAATTATGTTGTTTATTTAAAAAATCAGCAAGAAATCGGTCGGTATAGTGGACAAATTATCAGGGCAAGTGACTTTACAGGTGCCACTATACCGGAGTACACTGTCAATTTTAAAGTTATTTCCACCCCTGTTGTGTGCACAGTGGTAATACTAGTTGTCTCCCCCTGAAGATCTGGGTTAGATTTGATCTTCAGCATCCCATGCTTGTCGTAAAACGCAACTAATGGATCGGGTGGTCAGGCTCGCTGACTTGGTCGACACATATCATCGTATCCCAATTGCGGAGATCGATGCTCCTTCTGTGGATCACTGGATTGTCTGGTCCAGACTTTATTTACAGACCGACCCATATTGCTGGAATATTGCTGAGTGCGGCATTAAGCAACAAACCAACAATAACATAATACTGGTGGTGTGACTATAAAATGTTGCTTGGCTCTCCAAGATGTTGACCACGTTATTACCTGTGTGGTCCTACAGCAGGTGTTACTTAGATTGTGGCTGTGATTAAAGGTGTACAATCACAGACCAGGTGTAGCATTCCGTGTGACATGTGTGGGACGTAAATCATGCTGTATCAATGGTATTATGGGTGCATGACAGGGAATGCATGTACGAGGGACAGGATGGGAAGGGGTAACTGGGGCATATTGCAGTGTGGATTCAAATACCGTATATTACAGTAGATAAGCCGACGAATTAAGTTGACCATTAAAATCAGTATCAAAATGGTGTGTTCCACATATGCCGAGCCACCAATGATATGATGTTGTTTTCTTTCCACCAGAAAAAAAATGATGAAAGTGTAACCTGTTGACAAGCCACCCCCTTTCTACAGACTGCGTTTTTTGGTCCTCAAAATTCGGCTTTTGTACAGTCCTATATGGTGCTTCAGAAGCAACTCTTCTTCTTCAAGATGGGGGGGCGGTGGGGTAGCCTAGTGGTTAAAGCGTTGGCACGTCACGCCGAAGACCCGGGTCCGATTCCCCACATGGGCACAATGTGTAAAGCCCATTTCTGGTGTCCCCCGATGTGATATTGCTGGAATATTGCTAAAAGCGGCGTAAAACTAAACTCAGTCAGTCAGTCAGTCTTCAAGATGGCTTTTGAATAGATCTCTTTTTTAATCTTACAGTGTTTTTAACAATGTATCCAGTGTATGTTGAGCATCTGTAATGGAAACCAGGTGCTATACAAGCCAATTATTATTATTTAACTCTTAAGCTGCTTCAGACTAATATTCATGGTATTTTGCAAGTTATCAGGCCTACTTTTTGTGTAAACACTCCTATCTGGGGTTTATTTGCTTGTCTTTGGGGCGTATTGAGACTCATTCAAAAGTCAATGGGCAGTATTCCAACTTTGGCTTGTGTTAACGCCCATGCTATGTTTTCCAAATAAATGAATAAGAAAAGTCTTAGACAAGGGCATTCCTCTCCATGATGTTGTAACATTATATATGTACTTGTAATGTAATCTATGTAAATTAATGCTCCTTACAAGGAAGCAATGACTGCTCCCTTGCCTGCAACATGGCATGAAAGGCTGGCAACTAAACTTGTCTCCCAAAACTGTCTCCAGTTGTGTCTTTGTAATATGCTGCGAGATAGAACTAATGAAACAAATGAGTAATAGTACGGACTCTCATGAAGTTACAGTTATATTTGAAAAAAAGTTTTTCATATTTTCTATTTCTGAAATTTAAAACATGTAAATTGACTGCCAGTCATTTGGAAACTCCTAGGTCCAATTTGTATTGAACTATATATTTGTTTGAGCAGTATATATTTGCCTGATTGTGTTAATTTGCCATTGAGAAAAGGAATTTAGGAACAATCATTGTACATGCAAGACTTAGTTGTGTTGACTTATCTAATCTGCATTCACTGACATTCATCTATATATGAAAGTTCAAGATATGATTGTTATCGTGAGTTTAAATCTTTACTTGAACCTGAGTCGTATCTATACAATTTACATAGTAAAAAGCTTCGTAATGTTTTCATACGCCTGAGACTTGGCCTAAATGATTTATATATCAATCAAGAAATATATTCATCTATTATAAAATCACAAAGGTTCTGTCCATTTTGTAATACTGTAGAGAATGAATTACACTTTTTATTTCTTTGTCCTGCATATAATTTAAGGCAACTGTATTTTCCACAATGGCTACAATCAAATATTAATGCTACAAAACTGTATTCAATACTTTCATGTAAAGCATCCCTATAACAATATAAGGTAGCTCTATTTATTTATCACACGCTTATATTGAGAAGAGATTCAATGTAACGTGTGTGTCGCATGTTGTATATGTTGTACATATCATACATATTTCTTTTGTATATGGGCCTCTGGCCTTCATGCAATAAACTGATTGATGATTGATTGACTTCAAGGTTGAGGTTGATATGTAAAGCAGTGTTTAGTTTTCACCTAGCTCGTACTCCTGGAAGTTCTTTGGTTCGTAATAGGATGTAAGTGCTCCATGCTTAGCACCCACTTGGCATTTCAGTAATAGTAGTTTCTGTGAAGACTAACTATTGGCCATGGCCACTTTTGTGCTGGTTGTGACTGGTTTATGACTGGTTGTGACTGGTTGCTTCTTTATGCAACTGAGTTTTACTCCTGACATCATTTATTACAGCCATAGTGATGGAACTGTGGTATTGTTTACAGAGTGAAGCATCACTATCACTTTGTATCGCTTTAAGCTATTGCTTTTATCACTGTCAGGATATTTTGAAAAAATGACAATGTCAAGCTATAATGCCTATATATTTTTAGCTTGTCTACAAGATGGTGTTTCCAGTTAATCAGAATATTTTCTCAAAATCAGTAAGGCCGGTGATGGAAGTAAAGATAGTAATATGATCTCAAAAACATGTATTGAACTATTTGTTTAAGTGATTTCAGTTTGTTGAGGGTAATCTGCGGAAAATAATAGTTTTCCTTTCTATTTTGATCGACTTTAAATGACTCATGGACTTGGTTGTTGGACAAAAATGTTTTTGTGACTGCTTGTCCACTTCTGTGAAAATATGGATCAGCAGGTTGTGAACCAAGTTAATGTAAAACACTAAACAGCCGACCAAGGAATGCGTATTAGATCTGATGACACTTCAGGTTCTTAACCAAGTTGTTGTATATATTGCAGATGAGTCCCATCATGCCATAAACACGGATATCGTCATGGTCAACCAGCAGCCAGGACAGAGTGAGGTCGTCAAGTGCGTTGTCGTTGGTGACTCAGGAGTTGGCAAGACATGTTTGATCTGTGCCTGGGCCTGCGGAGCTAAATATGACCTTCATCAGCTTGTTAAAACTCATGTAGCCACTGTCTGGGCGATCGACCACTACCGACATGATCGAGAGGTAAGTCAACGTCGCTCTCTGGGCGATCGACCACTACCGACATGATCGAGAGGTAAGTCAAAGTCACTGTCTGGCGATTGACCACTACCAAGAGGTAAGTCAATGTTATTGTTTGGGCCAGTGGCCATTTTGTGGGCCATTACGCACTATTGTAAACCAAACGTCACTGTGTTCTTTAATCTGATTGGTTGAAAAACGTGATCAAATGGTATTCGATTCCCGGAAATTCGCTGAGTATTAATACATACAAACATCGCTCACACCATTGTATTGTTACGTCGTCAGCTGTGATGACGTCATTCAAATCATATTGTGACGTAAAGTCCGAATGACGTCACAAACAAGCAGTTCCAGATGCTACCATGAGAGACAGCCGAAACGGCCGGTTGATGACATTTCACTGCTGTACCCGTACACGATGTCAATGAGTGCAGACACAAAAACGTGTGTGGACCTTTTGGTTTACTTTTTGTGTTTACAATGGAATATTCCAAATGAATTCCTGTGCTTCAAATACTCAATAACACCCGGAAATTGGCCAACACATGATGTTTATCTCCTAACTGTCATGATCGAGAGGTGAGTCAAGGTCACTGTCTGGGACGTTACCCATTATCATTGTTTGTGCCCTTGACCACTACCAAAGTAGTAAGTCATGGTCACTGTCTACCAAAGTGATTAAGAGGTAAGTCAAGGCCATTGTTTGGGTCATTCCTCACTACTGACAAGATGCAGAAGTAGGTCTAGGCCATTGTTGGTCTATCGAAATCAATGCCACTTTAGGCTGAGATTCACTTCCATCATGAGTGAGAAATCGTAAGTCTAGGCTTCTTTGATTAGGGTCCAATACTGTCGTAATTTAGGCGGAAGTCAAGGTCAATTTTGGCTGTGAACCACAACCATCATAACTTAGACATAACTCTGGGCCACTGTAGGCTGTGGGCCACTACCACTGTGATAAAAGGTAGAAATGGGCTTCTGGGCCATACACCCAACTGTAATGGCCATGAGGAAACTTTGGTCCCTTCGCCACCAAATACCAGACTTCACATGTAACAGTTATATACCAGATGTTCTGTGTTTTGAGGTATAGCGTGTCCAGAACTTTTAGACATTAAAATGACGTAAGAAGACTGCAGAACTGAAACACATTATCTGTTCATCCTTGTGTGCCCCCTAACTTTGACTACCAGTACACCCATTGTTGTAATATGGACAACTTCTTTGAGTGGCATGTTTAGAAGTTGGAGAATCAGATAAGGACAAAACTTTATGGATGAACAACTTCTTAATTTGGTTGATGCGACATTTCGATACAGATTCTTGTATCGTATCAAGCAAGAATCGGTATCGAAACGTTGCATCAACCAAATTAAGAAGTTGTTCATCCGTAAAGTTTGTCCTCTACTGTAATATGGACATTTTATTGTTTCTGCTCCAAATTCCGAGTGGTTCTGGCAACTATGGAAATTAGAATGATGTATTCTTTTACAACCTATATTTCAAAAGGCATGGTGACCTGAGTCAACCTTACAGGCCTTTTCACTGAGTAAATTTAACCACTATTGATGATTTAAACTCAACTTGTCACACTGCTCATTTACCCAGCTCAGTCAACCCAGAACAGCCTAAACTTCGGTCATCAATCACTGTGAATTCCAACCCGTCATCTCTGTTCACCTTTCAGATAATGCTGGAGGCTTAGTGAGCAATATATACTTTGAATATTGACTAGCAGCCATTGGCTTGCACCAAAAGACACAATTCTGTATCATTATAGTTGAAGTACTGATCCATTTTTTGTGATGTAATCAGTTTAAATGTTACTGAAAATGTATCAGTGGATAAAAATAATACATTGCAAGTTATTCCATATTGTTTGGATGGGCTAAGCCATATTGTTTGGATGTTATTCCATATTGTTTGGATGGGCTAAGCAAGTTATTCCATATTGTTTGGATGGGCTAAGCAAGTTATTCCATATTGTTTGGATGGGTTCCATATTGTTTGGATGGGCTAAGCAAGTTATTCCATATTGTTTGGATGGGCTAAGCAAGTTATTCCATATTGTTTGGATGGGCTAAGCAAGTTATTCCATATTGTTTGGATGGGTTAAGCAAGTTATTCCATATTGTTTGGATTGGCTAAGCAAGTTATTCCATATTGTTTGGATGGGCTAAGCAAGCTATTAGTTTTTGATTTGTGGGTTTATGATTCCATGAATGTAAACATATTATGTCACACCCACTGACGGATTACTTTCAACACCTGTGCTACAACATGGCACTAACTGATGTTACTGTTTTGGTATCATGTTTTTGTGCATTGAGTATACAGACAATCTGGGATGATATGATTGTTGACTTACTTTTTGAACTGACCTCCATAGTTTTAGACTTATAGGGACATGAACTTAAAAAATGGTGTGCGAGTCTGCATAACTATCCTTTGAATAATATGGCAGCAGACAGCTGAAGGAAAAAACAGACATGCCTTTCTGAATTGATGAGAACCAGATGTCTGCTTGTACGACATACTTGTTGAGTGAAATACAGGAAAATCTTGTAACTAGAAAAACCACTGAAGTATATTTATCCCAACTCTATCCTTCTTTATTTAACCTGATTTGAAACTAGATATGTTTGTATGTATTAAGACTGGTCATTTCCCTGAAGTGCTTTTAAGTAGGCTAGGTTCAAAACAAGTCATTAATTCACTTAGTGGTAAAGTGAATGTCAAGGATAAGTAATTTATTGTACAGGTAAAAAAAGCTCTTGGAAGATGTTTAGTTGAAAATCAATAACCACATATTTTACCTTAAGGGGAAATAGACCACCTGTCTCTGCTGTTATGGTAATGTTTAACAGTTAGCCAAGGAACCATGGTTTTCAAAGTAACTTTGTAAAATAATTTCTGAGATGATTGAGTGAGTGAGTATGGTTTTACTCCCCATTTAGCAATATATAATATCACGGCACTGGGACACCAAAAATGGGCTTCAAACATTGTACTCATGTGGGGAATCGAACAGGGTCTTTTGGTGTGATGAACAGACGCTTTAACCACTAGGCTACCCCCCACCGAGATGATTGGCTGGTTTGGCTGACCCTGACCAGATATTAAGATTAATATTAGTTGTAATGAGTAAGTGCCGGTCTCATGTCATGTTACTGTTATATAATTGTTAAACACTTTTAAATATTTTCATATACCTGTCATTACAAGAAATAATTTGTGAATTTTTTTATGTTTCTAAGTTATTTAAAAAACAATTTTATGTGATACTGAATAATTACTGAAAATAAAAGCTTTCTGAAAAAGAACAAGAACAATCTAAAATCGAAAAATGTTGATTTATGCCTGTCTGAAACATGGGTAAGATACACAAAACAATTCACAGTTATTCCCTCTCTCATATCTGCCTCATCCATCTGCCATCGATAGAGGTTGCTTAAATTAAGGAACAAATAGTAAAATTGTATATATAGTCACAATAAGTGTACTTCTGATCTGTCGATACTAACTTGGGGCAGACAAGTTCCCCAGTATCCTATTTTAATCAAAATATTTTTATTTTTCTGCATTCTTTGTTTAGGTATTTCAACATTTATGTCAATAAAACAAGGAATTTAATTGGTCTTTCCTTATCCAAATAGAAATTATTTTGATGGTTGGAGGCTGCAAAAGTTCATGGAAGACTATAGACATTTACTTGAGGAATAGCAGGAACAGCCATTTTAATTCTATAGCAGAACAGTTTTATTGACTAGTTATAATACCGTATGAATTATTTTCAAACCAAAATTGCAATCATTATCAGCCGTGACCTCTGGTGCGTGTTGCAGGTGCTGGAGCGATCATGGTGTGAGGTGGACGGTGTCCGCGTCTCGCTGCGGCTCTGGGACACTTTCGGATACCATGATAAAGACAGAGGTTTCGCCTACAGGGGGTAAGTATTTATGACCTCTAAACAAACATGAGAACCTTGCTATCCCTCTGAAATTGAAGAATGTGGAATACATGTATAGCAGTAAACATGTCCTCCTGTCTGCCACCAATGTTTTGTTTCTGGAGCAGAGCTTCTAAACCATGTGCTATACAGATCAGTCTAGTGGTGAACTGGTGCCTTTTGATGATTTATGAAATTGTATTGAACAACATATTTTTATCTTAATGGCAGTGAACCAAAAGTAGGGTATAAGAAGTCAAAATCCTTTTCGCGATTGCATCAGATTTGTGGGATATGTCAAGTGATCACTCTTGTTAATCTTATTCAAGAGCCTTTTAGTTTATTTATACATTTGAAATAACCTGTGTACTTTTACTGTCCTGATCTGCAGGGCGGTGGGGTAGCCTTGTGGTTAAAGCATTTGCTCGTCACACCGAAGACCGGGTTCGATTCCCCACATGGGTACAATGTGTGAAGCTCATTTCTGGTGTCCCCCACCATGATATTCCTGGAATATTGCTGGAGGCGCCGTGTAAAACTAAACTCACTCTCTCCTGGTCTGCGGGTTCAAATCCCAAATGTTGGCTTTCATGGTTTTCCTGATTGGTCTCCAGCGCCATAGATCAAACCTTCGTTCAGACAAATCAAAGAAAAGGACATTGCATTTTGTTTCAAGCATATTCTTGGCAGACTTCAAGTCATATCACAGATCAGTTAGTCAGAACAGTGAGTCTAAGAGTGACCCATCACTTTTGACTTGGCTTTGTGTCAGACTGACAGTTTCATCCTATAAAAGCTGTAGTGTTTTGTCTGTCACCACCCATCCCAAACTTCCTCAGTTTTTGTGTCACAGACGTACGTATTTCAGCAACTATAATGGATGCTTCCATCTGACTTATAGACTGTTCTTCTCTATTGCAGGGCGGATGTTGTCATCCTCTGCTTCAGTGTTATGCGCCCCAACTCCCTGAGGAACATCAAGAAGTACTGGTACCCTGATGTACGGCGCTTCTGCCCCACAACACCCATCATTCTGGCAGGGACACAGGCAGACCTCCGCTACATGTACAAAGATGAGAACTACATCAACATGGAGAAAGGCCTACTGTATAGGTACGACTCTCACTCATAGTAATATGTTCCTATAAACTAGTTCACAGTTCACAAGGTAGCATTTCCCATAGAACTAACTACATGTACATAACTGACACTCTACGTCAACATGGAGAAAGGCCTACTGTATAGGTTCGACTCTCACTCATAGTAATATGTTCCTATAAACTAGTTCACAGTTCACAAGGTAGCATTTCCCATAGAACTAACTACATGTACATAACTGACCTTACATCAACATGGAGAAAGGCCTATTGTATAGGTTCGACTCTCACTCATAGTAATATGTTCCTATAAACTAGTTCACTGTTCACAAGGTAGCATTTCCCACAGAACTACTTAACTGACATTCTACACCAACATTGATATGGGCATACCATTCAGGTATAATATGGTGAAGTCAGTGTATGAAATAAGGCTCGTCCTACCACCCAAGACGGGCTAGATTTCTGACGGACGGTCTAATTTTACAGCAAGCCAGGCCGATGGTCTGGTAAATGTTTTTAGATGTCCCATACATCTGAGTAAATTCATAATATCTTGATGTCGGGTAGGGGCGGTGGGCTAGCCTAGTGGTTAAAGCGTTGGCTCGTCACGCCGAAGACCCGGGTTCGAATCCCCACATGGGTACAATGTGTGAAGCCCATTTCTGGTGTCCCCCGCCGTGATGTTGCTGGAATATTGCTAAAAGCAGCGTAAAACCAAACTCAGTCAGTCAGTCAGTGATGTCTGGTATGGTTAAATCCATTTTTGGCTGATGTCTGGCTGGGTTTCTGGCTTATTTCATACACTGGTGAAGTACATTTTGTAATTGGTTTCATGTGTTTTCATTTCATGTGTTTTCAGACCTATTGAAGAGAAAGACCTGATCACCTCAGAGGTTGGGCGTGATACTGCCAAAGACATTGGTGCTCCATACTATGAGACGAGTGTCCTAACCCATCATGGTGTTGAGGACGTCTTCATCAACACTGTTAGAGCTGCCATGATTGAACGACGAAAACTCAAATTTTGGAATGCTCAACTCCGCCGAGTCCAACGCCCCTTAATTCAACCTCCAATGAAGGTCCCGAAACCACTGCTGCCAAAAATAGCTGTCCCCCGCCAACGTTGTTGACTGATATCTCTCAGCTGCTGTACAATCAAAACGAAGGAGATGCTGTCTTCTTGGTTCAGGACCGGTGTATACGTGCTCACAAGATCTGTCTTATGGTGTCCTCTCCGTTATTTGAGGAACTTTTTACCTTGGACGCCCCTGTTTTAGTCCCCCCCGAACAGAAGCAGCCACAGCTGCAACTGATGAGAAGCGAGTTTTCAGGGGAACAGAATCACAATGATGAAGAGAAGCTGCTGGAGAGTGATCAGGAGTCTGTCAGCATGGATGGAGACTCTATTCGTCGATCAGTTGGTTACGAAAACACAATCACCACACCAGATGCCAGTAATGGAAATTTCCAAAAGTTAATGTCGATGTCTCATCCCTCGATTCAGTGTGCGGAAGTAAAGCTAGTTGAAGACCCCTTTCATCCTAGTCAGTTGATGGTGCAGACTTTTGTTACAATGAGCCGTGAGATTACACCAAGAGCATTCCAGCATGTCCTTGAGTACTTATACACGGGACAGGCTTGGGAGGACTATGATGTCCTCAATGAGGTTAAGCGAGCTGCTGAACTGATGAAGCTGAAAGACTTAATTATCATTTTATCCAATATGTTGTCAGGGGAACGCTTTCTCAATGCTGATATTCAGAGACATTTTCAGGAAGCACGCTGCTCCAAGTTGAGGGAACTGGCTCTTGAGAAAGAGGTGTTATCAGGTTGGTTTTAGAACTAATTTTAACAGATGTCATTAGTGAAAAACAACTGTAACTTGTATTTCATTGGGGTTTATTTTTTGGGGTCTTTTTCCCGAATTTACCTTTAAGAATTGGTTTGTAATTGTTTAAAACTTGATATAAAAGCTACCTTCCAACGCTGGCCCAGAATCCCACACTATGTACCAAATGGGGTAATATCAAACATGGTATGCTTAGTATATAATAAAGCTCTGAAATCGTAATGGAAGTCTCACCACAATTCTGTGGTAATTCTCCTAATAGTCATTCCAGTTAGAATAGGTTCCCAACATATACTGACCGCCTCCGTGGTGTAGTGGTTAGAGCGTCCACCTGGAGAGCAGAAGGTCACAGGTTTGATGCCTGGCCGCGTCATACCAAAAGATGTTAAAATATGGTACTTGTTGGTCCCTGCCTGGCACTCGGCATTAATGGGTACAACAAGGACTGGTTGGCTTGGAGTCAGTATAATGTGTCTGAGTGGGGTATTCATGCTTCACTGCGGCATTGTATCTCAGTGGGCTAGCACTATAAAACCAGCTTAAGTCTGGGCTAGTACAACCAGCCGCACATATATACACACGCATACATGTCGTCATATGAACGAAATATTCTTAAGTACGACAGTAAACCGCATTTCACATCACCTCACCCAACATATACTAAACTTAAGAGGAGGCCAAATGGATTGGATGGTTACACTGGCCGGACTTGGTGAATTTGTTGATTGCAGGTCATGTGTTGTCCCTCATAATATCAGTCACTGGATTTTCTCATCCATACTCAATTATTTACAGACCACCACCCTATAGCTGGGATATTGATGAGTGCTGCATTAAACGACAGACAAACAAACATAAGTGTCCTAGATCCTAGGCTAGCAGCATAGCATGCTCCACTTGCTTTCCATAACTTCTGCTAATGCTTTGCCTATTGTCATTTGTCTTACATAATATATGTAAGGTATGTTTGTGGGTAGGAATAGTATCGTGGAGATAAAAAGATTCTAAAGTTATTGTACCACATCCAGTTAGTTACTGGGGCGGTGGGGTAGCCTAGTGGTTAAAGCGTTGGCTCGTCACACTGAAGACCGGGTTCGAATCCCCACATGGGTACATTGTGTGAAGCCCATTTCTGGTGTCGCCCGCCGTGATGTTGCTGGAATATTGCTAAAAGCAGTGTAAAACTAAACTCAGTCAGTCAGTCAGTCCAGTTAGTTACAATGTCCATTGCTGTATCCATACTTTCTTGCTTGCTAAATATGCCCGTTTACTTTGGAAATTTGAAGAAAAGAAATGAGGTTTGATGAACTAGAACGCTCTACACAACACAATACCAAATTTCACATTTTCAATATGTCAAGAAAATATCCCCAATCTCATGTAGAGTGTGGCAAACAGAGGAAAATGGCATGGACTCGCCACTTGGCTAAAGCTTAGCCTCCAGCTAGCATTTTGATGTGCAAAATACATGTTGGTTTGACAAGGGCAGTGACATTGCCTTTTAGATAATAATGAAATCCCAAGATTTTCGGGTGTTTCAATCTGTACCTTACATTACTCTTTAACAAGTTTTAACAAGTTTACTTTCAGTAAATATGCTTTTAACCTATAGATATGATTTCAGTTTTAGATGAAAGAAAATTATCAACTAGAAAATTAATCTTTTTGTCCATTTTTTAATAAAAAATTAAATTAAAAAAATAAGTAAAATGTCAGTTTACGTAGCATGCCATCTGTAAGTTTGATTATATCTCTTACTTTTTTTGCATCCTGTAATATTCAAAGTGAAAATTATACACATCATTAATAAATTGTACACATGTAATACTCACTATTTTGCATCCAGTAAAACACAAGATCCTGTGATGAAATGGCTGCTGTCTGTGTGTTGCAGATATTGCCTTCAAGGTTGATAATGGCATTGTGGCGGCCCACAAGCCCCTGTTGATGGCTCGCTGTGAGATGATGTACGCCATGTTCAGCAGTGACTTCATCGAGTCCTCAGCAAAAGTGGTAATAATACTTTACATGCGATGGGCCTGACTTTGTGAAACTATGTCAATCAGTCAGTTATTCATAGGTTAAACACCTACTTCAGAGCCAGTCAATTTTATGTACAGTGGAAGCTGTCTAAACCGGCATCGTCGGGACTGAAGAAATAATCCGGTTTAGACAGCATGCCGGATTGTAGAGCTGACATGGTTACGTATAACTAGAACTGAACATTGTTGTATCACGTGGTTCTCTCAGTTACTGCACCCATTTACAATACAATACACAAGACAAAGATTTCAGCTCATATTCACTTTTATTCACACATTTTTCAACACATTTGAAAAAAATCAGACATTTTGGTTTGTTTATTCACAACTGATGATTCGAAAAAAAATTCTCAGCGACAGTTTCTAAATTGTCAATGTGAGGCAGCAAGCGCATCTTGCTTGACAAAGCAAAGTGCTTAATTTCCGTACACATTTTGAGAAAGTCTCTCAATGTCATGGAGGGATCTGGAACCTCTGTGTCTTCGTCGGAGGACGACTGCATTTTGTCTTTTCCTTGGGTGTTGCCGTCAACAGTTGCTCCTCACATTCCTGTGTGTCGGGGTTTTCTGTAGGGATGGCCATGTCACTGGTGACAAAATTCGCTGTCATCAGGCGGCTCATTTCATGACGAGATCCGGAATTGACAGCTGCCGGATTGCAGAGCTTTAAAATGATGATAAATGTACTAGCCACAGAGGGGACTGAGATTTTATGCCGGTGTTGACAACTTGCCGGATTTGACAGCTGCTGGTTTTGACAGCTTCCACAGTACATCATCATGTTAATACAGTAATATTGCTTAAAACAAATTGTTAGCTGTTTTCCTTTGCAACTACATATAAAGAATGTATCCCTTTAGGAGGAAAGTATTAGTCGTTTCGGCCATCCCTTTGGCCTGTTGCTGTCAATATAATGGTGAGATTATAAGTCAGTCATGACTCACAGACCACAGATAATTAGCTTAAAGGTAGCCATCAAGTGCCCATTTCATTACCAGCTTGTGCTCTGTCTAAAACACAGGACAGTACAATGTTCACTTGGGTGAGTGAATGAATTTGAGTAAATGTTTCATTTGCATTATGTTCACTTTAATATATTGTTTCACTGATATGTGTAATCCAAATATTGTACCACTAACAAAATTGCATTTTGATATTTGTAGGCCATATGAAATTATGTACTTATACTACTCACACTTTGATAAGGATCACCAAAAGTCACAACTTTACTTAAACATAGATTTATGAAATTGTATCCATTTAAAACTGGATAAATAATAATATGGTAACCCTTCTTTAGGCAGACAGCCAATTTATTCTAACCTTATTCACATGATACATGAGTAACCATAAAAATGGTTTTCATGGCACCAATCAACCATTTTGCAAATCATGGAACGAGTCATTGACAAATAAACAACACATGTCAATAGCAGGTATGGGTTCCACAAGATGCAATGACATACTGAAGCCTAGGATCCATGCTTACAATAAGCTTAGATATTCATACCAAATTTGACCCCACATCAACAGTTTTCTGTTGAATACATGATTTGATCCTTAGCAAAGTGTGAATAGTATATTTTTTCTGGATTTTTGTGTGAATTTTCTATCAACGATGAATTGAGAAACATGCCTCTATTACCTGTAGTGTTGATGAATCCCTTCTGAGAGATATGTTTGTTACACTAGATCCCTTTCCTGGCATCACCAAGGACACCTTCAAGGCTCTGCGTGAATACCTGTACACAGGGCAGCAGCCAGACATGACGGGGGTGGACTGTATCTCCCTCATAGAGGTCGCCAACCGACTCTGTCTGCCTAGGCTGGTGTGTCTCACTGAGAACTTCATCGTGCAGGAGCTGCAGAAAGCAGAGAAGGATGAGGAGGATATTCTGGAGGAGGTCTTGCTTATCCTGGAACCTGCACAGGTGGGTGGCTGCTTACTTGTGCTTCTGTTTCCTGCTTAATTGATGAAGAGCTTGCTGCTTATCCTGGGACCTGCACAGGTGGGTGGCTGCTTACTTGTGCTTCAGTTTCCTGCTTAATTGATGAAAAGCTTGCTGCTTATCCTGGGACCTGCACAGGTGGGTGGCTGCTTACTTGTGCTTCAGTTTCCTGCTTAACTGATGAAGAACAGGCTGCTTATCCTGGGACCTGGTGGGTTGTTGCTTGCTTATGCTTATGTAGCCCTGTGTGTTTTAATTGCTGAAGTCAGTTTGCTTATCCTGGGACCTGCACAGGTGGGTGGCTGCTTACTTGTGCTTTAGTTTCCTGCTTAACTGATGAAGAACAGGCTGCTTATCCTGGGATTTGGTGGTTTCTTGCTTACATGAGATTGTGAAACCCTGTGTGTTTTAATTGCTGAAGTCTGTTTGCTTATCCTGGGATCTGCACAGGTGGGTGGCTGCTTACTTGTGCTTTAGTTTCCTGCTTAATTGATGAAGAACAAGCTGCTTATCCTGGGACCTGGCGGTTTCTTGCTTACATGAGAATGTGAAACCCTGTGTGTTTTAATTGCTGAAGTCAGTTTGCCAACTCAGGGACCTACACAGTGAGGTGGTTTCGGGCTGTATTGTGGTAGAAACATGCTCAAGTTAATTTAATTAGAAAAAGATGTCTGGTCCTCAAATTGTTGTCAAAACTACATTTGTCTTCTCCATCTTTCTAGAAAAGATCCCGATTGTTTGTAATGTTTGTAGTGTTATTTTTCTCCACAATACAGTGTAGTCACTTTTGATCAATCATTGTAGGTTTAATGAATGAATACAGCTGATCATGGGATCATGATCCTGTTGCAGCTTCACAATGCCTCACAGCTGGCCAAGTGGTGCCTCAACTTCTTAGTGTGCCATCACAACGAGCTGCACCACAAGTACCACAAGATGCTCAGGTCTCTCGAGAAGGACAATCAGGAACACATTGAGAAGCACAGGTGGCCTCCAATATGGTGAGTCTTGCCCTGCAGAGTTCAGTGGTTCTAGGTGATCTTTCAGTTAGTGTTGACTGTGTTGCTGGCGAAAATGTATTTAATCGACTAAAATATATGTTTTTGTCAATATATCCAAATTTTAATGAATTTTCTTCAAATTTCATAGAATGTCTAGTGCAATCGTATTGGCATTATTTGAGGCTAAAATTCATAGTGACTACGGTAAAATCGTAGAGGTTGGCATCTCTGCTAATACAATTGAATGACAATTCCGATAAAAAAAACAACACAGTGCGGAATGGACTCATCCAAGGGTACGTTTACATAATCTGCTTGTGGCTAGGATACGTTTCTGTATACAGGAATGTACCTGGTGTACACATCCGTAGTACCCGTGCCGACAACAACCTCTTCAGCCTCAGTTCGTTTAATTAGCGTTGGATGTGTTGCTGGTTCAGCCGTCTGCAGTATCCTGGCTGGGGATGGACTTAACCGATGACATAATGCAGCTGGGATCCTCTATGTGACACATCTGTGGTGTGTCAGACACATCACTGTTGATGCAAGATCCCTACAGCAGACACTGCCTTCTTTACCTTGCCCCACAAAACTAGGGTCCAAAGTGCCCCCACATTCTAATTTCAAGGGTCCTAACAGGACATGAGGGCCTTGTAAAGCAATTAAATAAGTATTGAAAATAGTGTACTGTACTAAAGATGTTATCATTATAACAGAAACTCTATATTTCTTGTCGTGGAGGGGCGGTGGGGTAGCCTAATGGTTAAAGCGTTTGCTCATCACGCCGAAGACCCGGGTTCGATTCCCCACATGGGTACAATGTGTGAAGCTTATTTCTGGTGTCCCCCGCCATGATATTGCTGGAAAATTGCTAAAAGCGGCGTAAAACCAAACTCACTCACTCACTCACTCTTGTTGTGGATTTGGTACATTGGGATTCCATGTATATCTTGTTTTTGTTCATTAAGTATGTTTGTGCATACCGGAGAAACATTTCTACATTATGTTAATCCTGTGACACTGACACAGGTTGAATCAGTCCATCTCGTTTTGTAACAGAAGGATGATGACTCTTAAAGAATTCCCAGATTCTGTCAAATCCAGGGTCCCAATCCACACAGCACTATGACATTCGTAAGCCAATGGTAACTATAGAGTTACAACAGGTCGTAACATTACAAAAGCTTTGTATATCGGGACCCTGGCTTCCATGTGTTATGCATATCATATATTCAATTGGACTCCAAAGGAACTGGAATTCAAAGTCAATCATGTATCTGTCATTTATGCCTGTCCAGTTTTTATGTGTGTCCTTCATTGCTCTGTGTCAATCATGGACCTGTGTCCTATATTTGTGTCTGTGTTGTAGGTATCTGAAGGAGCTGGAACACTATGACAAGATCATGCACAACTCTTCCCAATATCCCGAGCAGCAACAGGAACAGGACTTCAACCGCTGGCCTCGCTGCACAGGCGGCTGCCTCTGCTTCAGTCGACGTGGTCGAGCCAGGATTGATGAAGCCACATCCATTGACATGCCTTTCTGAGGCTCATGCATTGACCATCATGGAGTAATATATTGAAAGTAAAGACCTGTGGATTCAGTAGGTTTTGAAGCTCCTGATTGCACTGAACCTGATGTAGATTGATGAAGGCTGTTTGTTGGTGTCTGCTTCCCAGGACAGCTTTATTTTACAATGGCCTGTCAGCTACATTGAGGTTATCAGGATGTAAGAGGCTTTTTGTGCCTCCTCAGACCTCATCCTGAGCATTGTCCTATTTCAGGGAGTGAACAACATCTTTGCAGATTATTAACCACATCTGATTTATTCGGACACTGAGGATGTCAGCTTACCATCTACAGCCTTGAGTCATGGTCCTTATGCCATTTGGGACTCTAGTTTTGCAATTCACCAACTACAACAACAAAATTGGACTGAAAAGAACAGATGGATAACTGTCTCCAGAAAATTATATATCTACCATCAAATATTTTTCAGAAAGTAATGCTTTCCCGAGCTTTGCTTCATGTGGACTGACAAAGTTCATGGATTTGCTGTTTCCATATCCTTCTGCTTTGGCCTTATCATTTACACCAGATTCATGTGAATGAAGATGCTTGTTGGACTGCTAGCTTAAGAGAATAACTGTCAGTGTTTAACAGCTATCTGCATTGTGTGAACACCATATGTTTTATGAAGTTGGATAACTAAAGGTTTGCTGTCACTTGAGACACCAAGTAGGAATCTAATCTTACTCATCCACTGATTACACCATTACGACAAGGCAGAGATCTAAGACCTTGTCTGTCAGGAACGGATACAGATATACGAGGACTGAGGAAGCCATACAAGATGTCTGAGTGCCAGATGATACCAGGTGACCAGCAGGATAGACTGTAGGAGTAGGAAATACATGTCATGTTACAAGATTACCCATGATTCAAGATCATTGACCATTGGTCCCCAACACCATGCCCAGCTCACTTTGGACTGACTTGATACCATTGAGGGAAAATTGGGGAAAAATAGTGTCATCCAAGTAATTACTGTGTTAAATGTTTCACTACTGACAATTTCGAGAGACAATGAAAAGCTTAACAGTATTGCTCTGGCTATAGCATCAGTGGTACCTTCATCACTGTCCCTTTTGAAGTATTTTTTTAAGGTTTTTAAGGTATTGATATGATTGGATTTGCTGCATGATCTTCAGGCAGATATTTGGTGATGACATGTTTGGAGTGGCAGACATGGTTGAACCTTTGTTAACAGAATCTGCATTTGTCCTCTGTTATCTGTTCACATAGTAAGTCTGTGTTTTCGAAGATTAAGAGCAAGTGGTCATGTTCAGCGATGAGTAATATCAGTACATTGAACAATTTCGTTTGGTTTTTTGAATCACTGGCAACTCTCACCTTGCAGAAGGTTTTATAGTTTCATTTTTGGTATCAGAGTCAGTAACTTGATACAGCCATTTTAAATCCATGTTGAACTTTGAGATTCAAGAAGAGAGTCCTGATGTGATGTTTCAAGGTCATTGGAACCAGTGACCTCTAATAAGGAGCCAGATTTACTAGTGTTATGCAAGATCAGGAGTTCCAGAAGTAGCATCTTCAACATTTGTGATTCCAGGAGCAAAATTGTCAACATTTGTGGTTCCATGAGTGAAATCGTCAGCATTTGTGGTTCCAGCAGTAACGTCATCAACGTGTGGTTCCAGGAGCAACATCATCAACATTTGTGACTTCAAGATTTGCGTGGATGGATGACAATGGAAGAACACTGGAACAAGTTGAGGATTTTAAGGATGTGGTTAGTGCTGACCATCCTGAATGTAATATCCATGCTGGCAAAATACAATCTGGTGAGATGCTGGATCTCAACACAGGAACCAGTTTAGGATTTTAAGGAGTTGAAGCATTGCCCATTCTCATTGTGTCCATCAGACTAATGCGTGTTGGATAATACCATCTTGGGAATCATTTCACACAATCGGGATGTACATCACATTACTTATTCATCTGCCATTTTGTGCTAATTTTGTACATGGTCTGCTACTGACATCTATAAAATATTCTCATGTTGGTTGTACAGCCATGGTCACTGAGATATGTAATGTCTGTGAATGACTTGGGTCAGCTGCAATGGTGTAGTGGTAGCTTGTTAACAATTCATACACAGGTTGGTGTATTGTATAAGCTGTAGTGTTGTAAGATACAATAGATATAATTATACATTAACACTGATATGGATTATTTGGGGATATATGTACAGCTATTCAGTTTTGTTACAATGGATATGTGTTTGTAGTGCATCATAAAATGACCATTTAAAAACTGAATTAAAAAAAGCATTATTTTATTGGATTGAGAGGTTTGTGAAGAGGGTGCATATTTTGTTAAACATTAGTTTGTTTTCTTGTCATTGTTGAAGTCACAGATCTGATTTTGTTTTATGATGTATATATATATTATCCTACATCCATTTTAATTTATCATATGTACAAAATATGTTGTATGCATTTCGTAGATGATTTAATAATTTTTCTTGTAGCAGACAATCTACAGGACAATCCAGAAGATACCCAGAGATCCTAGCTATCAGTGTTTGTCCTGGCGAAGAGAAAACGTCAACAGCATATAGAAGAGCAAGAATACAATAACTACTTTCTTTTTAACTTTATAAACCAAGGGACTATATTTTAGGACAAGCTATAATTTCGAATATATTTACAAATGTATATGATGGTTTGTTAACTAAGCATTTATTTATTATGCTTTTGACATTTTGAAAATAATGAAGCAAAGTGTAGTCAAAAGAAAGATTAGAATTTGCTTTATGTGTTCAAGTAGCTACCAGCTGCCATTTGATATTGATACAAGTGATGATTGTACATAGACTTAAGTCACAGAAAAACAATTTGTGTCATTACTTTCCATTTTGAATGACTTGTGACAACATTTCTTTGGTGTCATGTCACATGACTAGAGTTGATTGTGTCACATGACTAGAGTTGATTGTGCGATATGTCACATGACTAGAGTTGATTGTGTGATATATCACATGACTAGAGTTGATTGTGTCATATGACTAAAGTTGATTGTGTGATATGTCACATGACTAGAGTTGATTGTGTGATATATCACATGACTAGAGTTGATTGTGTCATATGACTAAAGTTGATTGTGTGATATGTCACATGACTAGAGTTGATTGTGTGATATATCACATGACTAGAGTTGATTGTGTCATATGACTAAAGTTGATTGTGTGATATGTCACATGACTAGAGTTGATTGTGTGATATGTCACATGACTAGAGTTGATTGTGTGATATGTCACATGACTAGAGTTGATTGTGTCATATGACTAAAGTTGATTGTGTGATATGTCACATGACTAGAGTTGATTGTGTGATATGTCACATGACTAGAGTTGATTGTGTCATATGACTAAAGTTGATTGTGTGATATGTCACATGACTAGAGTTGATTGTGTGATATGTCACATGACTAGAGTTGATTGTGCGATATGTCACATGACTAGAGTTGATTGTGTGATATGTCACATGACTAGAGTTGATTGTGTCATATGACTAGAGTTGATTGTGTGATATGTCACATGACTAGAGTTGATTGTGTGATATGTCACATGACTAGAGTTGATTGTGTGATATGTCACATGACTAGAGTTGATTGTGTCATATGTCACATGACTAGAGTTGATTGTGTCATATGTCACATGACTAGAGTTGATTGTGTCACATGACTAGAGTTGATTGTGTGATATGTCACATGACTAGAGTTGATTGTGTGATATGTCACATGACTAGAGTTGATTGTGTGATATGTCACATGACTAGAGTTGATTGTGTGATATATGTCACATGACTAGAGTTGATTGTGTGATATATCACATGACTAGAGTTGATTGTGTGATATGTCACATGACTAGAGTTGATTGTGTGATATATCACATGACATGAGTTTTGAATGATATTTTTTATTACTTGATGCTGGAATCAGACATGTCACACAACGTTAGTATTGACTGTGATTACGTCTTGATGTACATTTGATGTCCTACGATGTTATCTGTAAAGTCTTGATTGTGCTATGAGAAATTGCTGAGAGTTGTGAATGTAACGCTAATATCAGTGATATATGTGGCTTTGAAAACCAGAAATGCATCCTATGTACAGCATGGGTTTATTGTAGCACAAAATACACAATTTTGACAACTCAGCTGAAAATCTTTCAGACAAAATTTATTGTTTGAACACTGGCTTTGTTCATTGTTTGATCCACAAGGCTCACAAATGAATGATGTCATGATTTATTGTCAAATACTTTCAAATTTTATGTACATCTACACAAATATTTTTGACATTTTGTCACTAGTCAAACCATTCCTTAAAGCCAAGTTGTCAAAATTGTAAGACAATTTCAGCTGTCCTTGAATTTTTGACAGGTGCCCTTCTCTCTCCAAGCTACATATCAGACCTGTAGTATAGTTGCCAGGTTTTCATACGCGAAGTCAGGTACAGCCAGGTTTGAACTATCTCCTTTTGCAGTACAAGAATGTGAAATTCTTTATCTCTTCAGTATCTGGTATTTGATATATGGAAGGATATCATAATACTGCTTGATATGGGTCTATCTTGGATAAATAATTTTCACCATTTTAATTGTGAATCCTAATCTGACATGCCAATGCATGAAAGAGAGACATATATAAGGCAGGTGGGAGTATTTACAATGCACTTAGAATTCATATAAATCTGCAATAGATCTACATTCGCATTGAAAAATATGTGGAAACAATTTGTAGATTAAAAGTTATTAAAATTTATTACAAATTTCAGGTGTTTACTTTCATATTCCTTCCATATTTCTGAAAATGACATTAAATATTCTTTTGGACACAAATGTAAAGTTTGTTTATCACATCACTGAAGACTGAAATGAATTAATTGTAGGATGAAAAAAAGATTGTGATTTTTTTGGTGAATTCAAAAGTCAATCCTGTAGTTGTAGCCCTTGAAATTATTACATGCATAGAAAACATAAGGACAACCATTTTGTTTGAAACAACAATCTCATACCAACCTCCCTAAAAAAATGGCCTGTATATAGAATTTTGCAGGCTTCTATATGTTCAGTTTGCAGTGAGACAGGTCAGCTGTAGTTTGGGTAAGATGGAAATGACCTGTATGAAAATCAAGGACACATTTGCTGTGTTTTCACCTGTATAGTGTTATGAACCAATGGCCTTGACCTTATCAAATGTGCTTTATGGACTCTGATAGCGAGCTTGATGCACCACGTGCCTAGTTTATCGTGTAGCTAGCATGTGTGTTAATGTAGCCACAAGTCTGACCATGCCATGTTGTGAGATAAACATATCACTACTGCTAAACGATCTTAAGAAGAATCATTTTGGACAGTAGGCATTCAGAGAGAATCGGAAGAGTCCATTTTCTGTGAAGAGGGGATGGTGAATGTGTGTCAGTTGGTGCCCATGGAGTTCATGGTCCATGTGCATTTGTCAATACATCGACCCTACACGTGCTCTGTAGGTGTACATATGAGTGGATTGATTGTGAAGGATTGCTTGTCTTTGATGCTATAGATATTAATTATTGATATGGGATCAGTTGCCAGGTATGAGGTGAGGTGAGGCGAAAATTGGGTTTAACGCCGTGCTTGAGAATATTTCGCTCATATGACGACGTGCATGCGTGTGTATGTGTATGTGCGGCTGCTTGTACTAGCCCAGACAGAAGCTGGTTTTATAGTGCTAGCCCACTGAGATACCATGCCGCAGTGAAGCATGAATATCCCACTCAGACACATTATACTGACTCCGAGCCGACCAGTCCTTGTTGTACCCATTAATGCCGAGCGCCAGGCAGGGACCAACAAGTACGATATTTTAACGTCATTTGGTATGATGCGGTCGAGATCAAACCTGCGACCTTCCGCTCTCCCGGGTGGATGCTCTAACCACTACACCACGGAGGTGGTCTGCCAGGTGTGATGTTTCTTAAGTTTGTTTAACAGTATAGTTAGCCATCATGCCCATTCTCCTGGAGCTTTTCTGTATCGTACACTGAAACCCTGCTAGTCTGAACAACACTTTTCTCATAACTACTGTTTGGAACATATACATGCTTGCCCAAATCTGGCTTAGTATAATTCAGTTTTTGTGTGGTATATGTAATGTTATTAACTGGTCTCACTTGATCAAACAGAATTTGATTAGACTCAGGCTTCAGACTAGTGGCTAATGTCACTGACTGTTGAAAATCCTCAATCACCAGTTACACTTTAGGACTGTGATTTTCTGCTTGCGTTTGCAATAAATCAGGATCCACTTGCACAAAGTGATCTTAGCACTACGAGTGAGTGAGTGAGTGAGTGAGTGAGTTTTATGCCGCACTCAGCAATATTTCAGCTGTATGGCGGCGGTCTGTAAATGACCAAGTCTGGACGAGTCAATCCAGTGATCAACAGCATGAGCATGATTCTATGCAATTGGCTAAGCACTATGATGATAGGAAACCTATGTTAAAGTATGTTAGTAATGATCACCTTAATGCTAAGATAGTTTTGTGCACGTGGGTCCTGCCTAGTAAAACAACCTATGTACTCAAGGAATTTGCTCCTAAAGTTTTGAAGTAGTCCTATACTCAAGTATAACAATATAGATTTTCAAAGACCGACCTTACTCAGAAATGATTCATTGATCTGTTAATTTGTAAACCAAAATGGTATCACTGGGAACTGTGCAATCAAGATCAGCTAGGTTCCAGTGTCAGGTGCAGCTCCCAAGAAATCAGTCTAAGTAAACTTAGTCAGTGTCAGGTGTAGGTAACTTAATACTGAGGCTAAGTTTACTTAGACTGCCAAGAAATGGATTTCAGATGGAACTCTCATCTTCCCATGTAAGCTCAATGTTAAATCAGTGGAGTATTTCTGTCAAACAAGGTGGTTGTTTGTAAAATTAGACTAGAAATTTATAACATTCAACAATCAGTCATGTCTCATTGAGACCACAACCTGTTGAAAGTTTGATAATAACTTATTTATACCTTTTTTAACAAGTTGTTTGAGATGTTTATTTTAGTAGGTTTGAGCTCACAATGAAGTACCGGTATTGTGATTTTGTGGATATAATAATTTGTGAGATATATATCATATATATCATGTATGCCAGTATACTCATGTATGTAGTTTGTTAAGGGCAAAGGATAGCTTTCTCCTGAATACTGACAGAAAAAAATCATGTAGAATATACTTATATTTGTCACTTAAATGGTCAACATAGGCATTGTACGTGGCACCTGTTCATACCGTTGTGGTTGTGGTATATGTGTATTTGTTGTACTGATGTTGGTTTACATGAATTCAGTATTGAAAACTCACGCACACTTGTACGTATTCATGTAATGGTAATCATGTTGACTATATTTTTTGCCTGTGATTTTAGACAAGTTTCACATGTTTTACTTACACCAAGGGAGATCACTCTGTGCAAACTGTACTTCCATTTAGCTTCATACAAATACCACTGTCTATATATGATATATCATTTATTGAGGGCAGTTGGCCTCAACATGCTCAGTGGCTAAAGGAATAATATCAAATATAAAATGCTTTGAAGATATAAAAAAATGCTGACTGTAATGACTTCTAATTATTGACTTTTTACATTGTTTAGGGTATTAAATATTAAATTATTGCATTGACCATTTTTCCCAATATATTTCTCCTTGTGTTTTGCATTACATGCACCATTGAAAGGAATGTTTTAGTAAAGTGCAATATCAATCATAAATGTGTTACAGCAAGTGTGTGGCCAATTTATGCTTGTGATGATCTTGATTTCAAAGATATTTTTTCTCTGAAAATCTGAAGTACATGTATATGTAGGTGTAATTGTTTATATTTAAAAATAGCTCAAAGTATTTGGTAAGTGGTGTATTTATGAAGCTGTTTGGTTGAAAGTTTTGGCCGTTACTGAATATGTGACTTTGATGTGTGT